CATTTAATGAAGCTATAACATCTATGCAATCATTCGAGGAAAAAGTTATTCATGAAAATCTAGATAAAGAAATGGGAATTTAATTTATCAAAAAGAATTATAATGATAAAAAAGAGGATATTAATATTAAGTTTCTTAACAAGTGCCATTGCACAGAAGAAGGACATCTTAAAAATAATTGTATGCATTTCACGAAAAAATGCGATAATCATAATATGATAGGTTATTTAATATCAATATGTAGAGGAAAAGTATTTACAGATAGAAAAGATAGAATTATAAGAAAAATAACTAATAAAAACTTTGATTTTAATTTTAAATGATCAGAAATGAAACTAATTCACAGAAAATACATAGAGTGCAAAAATACCTTAATAAACAGTTGAAATACTTGGAAAAACAAAAAAAAAAGAGAGAGAAAAAAAAAAATATATAAGAAAAATAGACTTAAAATGATAATGTAATAGAAAGAGGAACAGAATAAATAAAGCAGTTGAAGACAGAAATATTGAAATAAAGATGAAGTCTGATGAAAACATAATAGATTTGATAAAAAGTGAATTGTCTTATAATAAGATACTATATATCAAAAGTAATAAAGGATTTTGTTTGAATGAATAACAATTTGTAGAAATCAATGGGAAAAAATGATAACGCATTATTAGTTACAGGAGTAAAATTATGTATGATATCATCTTTTTCAACAAGAAAACTGAACATGAAATTGGATATGATAATTTTCACTAATGAAAGTTTGTGGAATATTTAACAAGATAATCTCAAGGATATCTAAAAAGGTTGAAATATGCATGAAATTTACCAACAAAAAGACCATAACCAGATTAGTTATAATAAATATAAATAAACCCTTTATATTAATTAATGGTTTTGTGATGAATAAATTAGGATATTTTATCATTAAGGATAATAATAATCATATATATATATATATATATTGCAAAAGTCAAACCTGAAGAAAATGAAATAGAGTTGAAAAAAAAAATTAGAGAATAATATAAAACTTTGAAAAAATAAAATTATGAATTCTAATGATAAATATAAAATTTCTATTAAAGTTTAAGAGAAATATTGGCGTTATAACTCTAGACCACTAAGAAAAGAAATGTTATCAAAATTACATTAGAAGATTAACAAAATGTCACAATTAAAGATAATAAGTAATGTTATTAATGCAGAATGAGTTTTACCTACTATTATTGTTCAGAAGAAAATAGGATAATTGGGAGTCATTCTAGAATATTCATATTTAAATATATTTATACTAGATGATTTACATGTTATCTCATATATGAAACATATTTTTCAAACTTTTTATGATACTAAATGGTTTTCAAAAATAAAACTTTAAAAATTGATTTTCAAATCATCTATTGGAAGAGAATAGTAAACCCTACACAGAATTTATAGTTCCAAAGCTACATGCATATTTAACGTATTATCGTTTGTATTAAAGATAAATTTCAAGCAATTTCAAAGAATAATGGAAAACATTTTTATGGAGTTAATTCAGAAGAATTATGTAGTTTTTGTATATTGATAGCATCATCACTTTTATAAAAAACACTATTTGAACACTTGGAAGTACTAAAAAAAAGTATTTAATATACTTAGTAATAATAATTTATGAATAAACATGGAAAAGTATGAACTTTTTATAACATATGTAATCTATATTGGACAAGAAACAAATCAAAAAGGAATCAGACCTTCTTTAGATAATATAAAAACAATCATTGAAGTAGAGAATTTTAAGTCAAAAATAAAATAATTTTTGAGAGCTACTAAATATTATAGAAATTATATTAGGAACTTTTCAGAATGGACTTTAAAACTAATCCCATTGTTAGATAAGAAACATAAATATAAATAGAATAAAGAACATTCAAAATCATTTGAACGAATCAAAGAAAAGATGGATGAAATAACTTGTCTTTTATTTTCGGAATTAGAAAAACCGTAAACTATCTACAATGATAAATCAGATTGTGTCATACAAACCGTGTTCACTCAAATAGATAATGATACTGGTCATACTAAATATATTCATTATACATCTAAAAAATTAAATGATATACAACGAAGATAGAGAATGGTAGAAAAATAATTATTCTCAGTAATATTAGGATGTGAAATATTCAATTATTATACCAAAACATCTAAAACTTTGATTAAAACATATTGTAAAACTATTATAGGAATTAATTCAATTAATACTGAAAAATTATATAGATAAGAATTGCAACTATCTGAATTTAATTTAGAATTTGAAAATACTGAAGGACTTCAAAATAATTTAGCTGATTGGATCACTAGATCAATAGAAGATAAAATAGATTTTCCGAATTGTATGACATTACAATGTAATAAACATAAAAAAGAATATATAAAGATTTAATGTTATACCATCTTGTGAAGAAATTACAAATACAGAATGATAAGATAAAACTAACATACCAAGAGAAATAGTATGAAAAGATAATTTTTTGGTTCACTATAGAACAGGAATATTACACATATCAGAAAAATATAGGAACCACGTAATGTATTGATTTCACAGTAGTAAATTTGAAGGACATTATTTAGTAAACAAAAATTAAAGAAAGTATAAAAACACTTTTGGTAACCTAATATCAATAAAGATATAGGGGAATGTGTTACAAATTGATTAGTTTTATGAAACAGTGAGTAATACGAAATCTGATCTCAATAATAACCAAGATCTATAAAAACATAATTTATTTAACATGGTTTCACTGGATATCAAAGAACCTTAAATATAGAAAGGCACGAGATACTTTATAAAAGTAGCGATTGATCATCACTCACATTTTATGGTGGCAAAAGTAACTAGTAGAACATTGATTGCTATGGATGCAATTAATATTATAAAAAAAATATGGATACCCTAGAAGCATTCTATCATATCATGGTTCAATTTATGCAACTCAAAGATTTCAACAGTATATTAATAAAGAATTACAGAAAAAATTGTACCATATTAGCTCATATTATCCACAAGGAAATAATATAAATGAAAGTTCTCATAATAAAATTAGATTATATAATTAAAACTTTTTAATAAGAAAAAAATTTATCTTTTCAAGTAGTAATGCGAAATGTAGTGTTAATATATGATAATACACTTCAGGTACTTTAGGAAAAGCATCTTATTTTACTCTGTTAGGAATAGATTATATATACCCTGGTTTTTCAAAATTATTACTTGAAAATACATAAAAAATGAGAACAATTTATTAAAATGATAGATAAAAACAAGTGAATGAATATTTAAATAGATTTAAAGAGAAAATACTGAGAGTAATTAAGGATATTCATATTAATATTTTTATTATATAAAACCCATTACGACATGAAGGGAATCGAATGAATCATTATAATGGTAATAATCAATATAAAACCTTATTGGAATTTTTTACATGGGAGGTAACTAAAATTGAAATTGGAAAATTTAAAAAACCATATATATATATGCTAAAAAGGTAAAGAAATTAAAATCCCATTTACTAAGGTTAAATTATTAAAGTAGTAAAACTGAAGAGATATATGAGATTCAATTGAAGAACATAATACAATTCACTAAAATGAATAAAAAAATAACAAAACTTATACATTTATATGAGTCTAAAAATTATTTTGATATTTATAAAAAGATATATTGTAACATTATATGAATTCAATGATAATAGAAACAGTAAAGTAGATATTGTTATGCATAAAGGACATGAAATTGTAAAATAGATCAAAAAAAAAAAAAAAATAAATAAAATAATATTATTATTTTTCCCAACATGGTGAAGTATTCTTTATAAATTATATTATCTTCCCATTTTCAATTATATTTAAATAAAGTAAATATATTTTTATGTATTTTCTCTAATTATGCAAGGTAAATGTTTGTGTCTAAAAGCATACACCACAAGTACATAAAAAAAAATAAAAAATTAAAAATGTAATGTTAAATATTATATATATATATATATATTTACTTCTTTTTTTCTTTGATATATTTTAAATAATTAAAATTCACAATTCTACCTACATATTATGAAAAATTTTCTAATACATTAAAAGAAATAGAGTTAATAATTGGTAAGATATTTTTTTATATGAATTAATTTTAAAGTATATATATTTTACTAATATATTATTAAAAGACATTTTTATGTAAAATTCAAGAATATTCAGCTTTTTTATTTTATGATCCCGTATATGTTTATTCAAAGTTTTTTTTTTTTTTTTTTTTTTTTTTTTTATTTGAGTTTTTTCATAAAAATGAAAAATAATTATTTTTTATAAAGCATATAAAATTAATTCAAACTATAAAAAAAATAAATATTACTTTCGACATTTTGCAACTTTTTTATCTGTACATAAAAATTAAAAAATAACTCTAAACTAATAAGATACTCATTGGTTATCTTTTTCATATAATATTTTTATTTTACAAAAAAATATATATCATATAAATTTGTAAGAAAATATAAATACAACTATATAAATAAATCATTAATAATATGCATTACTATACAACTTAGTCTTTTAGTTAAATACTAAATTTAAAAAGAAATTATAATGATATGTTTATTAAATGTGTATATATAATTTAAATCATTTTAAAATATTTAAAGAATAAAATAATTAATATATTAATATAAAAACTTTATAAATTTATGAATGAAAATTTTATAATTCATTAAAAATTAAAAAAAATTTTAAATGTCAAAAAATATTTAAAAAGATACAAATAAAACTTATAAACATTAATATTTATTAAAAGTAGATGAATAATATTATATTTATTAATATTTCATATTAATATGTAATAATTTAATTAAAAACGTTTTTTTAAATATATATATATATATATATATATATATATATAGATATATATATATGTTTAGTTAATAATACATTTATAAATTTAAATGAAATATTGATTAAATAAAAATATTTTGGTTTTAATTTTCTTTTAAATAATCTGATAGTTCATCTCTTATTTCCATTTCTCTTAATGTATAACCAATAATTAATTGCCAAAAACAAATATAAGTTAATACAGAACCACTTACATATATTAACTCATTTGATAAGTTTTTATTTATATTAAGGGTCATTCCTTGAATTACTAATTCTACAATTTTCTTTGTTGCATCTAAAACTAATCCACCTATGTTATCTGTTAAGGAACGTAATTGAACATCTGTTAACGATTTAATATATGAAAGTAAATCATCATTTAGAAATGTTTTATTTTCCTTTAATATTTTCAATTGATTTTCTAAATAATTAATTTTTTTTCTTAAAAAAATTATGTAATTTTTTGTATTAATTATAGGAAAATCATCATTTTGTATTTCTTTATATTTTGTAAAATAATGACCATTTAAATTCATTTTTTTTTCATTCTCATTATAATTATAATCATTTTCATTAATTTCTTTTGTATTCACGTCTTTGTTTTTTAAATTATTAAAATTAATGTCTTTACTTAACTCATTTAAATCTAATGTTTCATTTTCTATTTTATCATTATCAACAAATAAGCTGTAAAATGATTTTTTTAAATTTAAAGAATCCTCCCCCTTTTTGTTAATTGTATTATTTTGATCATAAAGTGATTCATTTAAACTTAACCTATAATCAGCATTTTTTATCATATATCCAGTTAAAATAATTTGCAAAAGAAAATTATATATTTTATCATATGTAATTAAAATTGATGTTTCTATTGTATATTTTTGAATATTTCCTATTATGTTAAATATAGTAGTTTTTACAGCTTCTTTAACTCTTTCAGATGTATTTTCAAAAAATCTATTAATTAATTCATTTGGTGATATGCTACAAATTTTATCAAAGTATTTGTTGTTACTGTTTTCAAAAGGTTTGTTATTTAATGAGAAAAATAAAGGAAAATCATTTTTTTTTTTTGATGTAAAAAAATTATTTATATTGTCATTAATCGAAGAAATGTCTTTTTTATCATCAGGAAATTTATTTTTATCTATATTTTCACTTTTTTTATTGTTATCAAAATACTTATTTTCTTCATTATCGTTATAAAAATAATCTAATTCATTATCTTCTTCATCGTCATATTCATCATATTCATCTTCATCATCATCATCATCATATTCATCATCCTCATCTTCATTTTCATCTTCATCATTTTTAAAATAAAAATCTTCTTTGTTATCACTGTCTTTTTTTTCTTTGGATTTCTGAACTTTTCGATTCTTACGTATTTTATTTTCTAAATCCTTCAGTATTTCTTTCTTCCTCTTATCTTCTAAAAAATTCTTCCATTCTTCATTTTTCTCATTTAAATTTTTATCTTTCTCATGTTCACTTTCATTATTTTCAGAATAATTACTATTTTCAGTGTTATTAAAGATTTTAAATTTTCTTAATTTAAAAAAGGACAAATGACTAAAATTTAATAAATCATAGTTATTTATTCCTCGTATTATATTATTTCCTTTGTGATATTTAAAATTTTTATTTTTAAGAATATTTTTTTTTTTTGTGAAGCAATTTTTTGGTAAAAAAAAATATTTCTTTTGCTGCTTAAAATTAATATTTTTGTTACTTATTTTTGGCAATATATTATCAAAATGAAATATTTTTTTTTTGCATTTTACATAATTAAATTCAAAAAAATAATTAATTGATATACCAATAAAAAAATCAATAAGAAATAAATAAATCAATCTTAGCATTATATATTTTTATTTAAGTTACATTGAAAGCTTTAAATAGTTAAACACACACATAATTAAAATTAAAAATAATATTTTTTTTTTTTTTTTTTTTTAATTTTTATAATAATATAATCCTATAAATTTTAAAAATCATTTTTTTTTTTTTTTTTTTTTTTTTTTACATACTTCTACATTTCTTATTTTTTAACTTTTGAAATTTAAAAGTAAAACAATTTATATATTAAAAAAGCATAAATTTAAATTATAAAAATTCACATAATAATAAAAATAATTTGATTATATAGAATATATAAAGAAAAAAAATGAATAATTACAATGAATACAAATATATTTTAAATGAAATATCATATATATTTATTTATTTTTCAAAAAAAAAAAAAAAAAAAAAAAAAAAAAAAAAAAAAAAAATTTAAAAAAAAAAAAAAAAAA